GGTTCCAGCAAAAAATTAAGGGAACTGACATCAGAAGGACATATTTAAAGTGAAGTAACACGCTAGCACTAAGATTGTCTGGTTTCTGAACAATGAATGCACTTGTTAATGTTGTCCTCTGTTGGCCTGCGGATCTCAATCTGTCGTGCAACCTTCACAGCAAGATTTGAACGTCACTGGAACTGCATAGCGAGAGCGCTTCAAAAACCTACACATCAGGATCCATTAAGAAGTGTTAGAACAAATGAATTTACTGAATATCGCCGCCGCTTAGGAATTGCCGTTTCCATATTTTCAAGCTAACACACTCTTCACAAAGGAGCATTCTCCTTCTTTTCTATAAGATACAACCACTGCTGAAGAAGACTTAAAGTGATTTTACTTCAATGACAAAAGTCAAGATCATTTATAGTTCTTCTTCATCCGCACTCGCTTTCCTGAATTATCGCTGAATTGTGTGCAGACGAATCAACGCTCGTTTGCTTGCCAACAAGCCTTCCCCAATCCTGAGTACAAAAGGAGTCGTTATTGTGTGGAGGGTAAAATAAATGGACAAAAAAGCGTCTTGCAAGGGCGAATTGTAGGCATAAGTTCTGGTGTGAAAGCATCAGCTGTCCATACCATTCCATCAAGCAGTTCAGACACTCACATTCATCTCCCTAATGGCGCGTCAAAAGGGCAAAGCGAGTTCTGCGCTCGCAGCTACTTTGCTCCCAAGAATACTCATTTGTCACTAGCTTAAGAATCTGTTCATTGCAATTGCTGCTTCGCACAACTCTTACGCGCACAATTACCCAACCGTTTTCACTGCCAGGCGCTGTAGGACTTACATAAAATATTGTCTTTTCCATAATCGCAGTGACGCTTTGAGTGCGAATTGTTTTGCCCTTTTTCATTACAATCCACACCCCTTTCAATTCTTGACGCAAGTTTAGTCTGATAGGCTGAAAGAAGCTATAATAGAAACTGTTACTACTCATAGAACTTCAAATTACCAATAAATTTTAGGTTTACCTTGCCTTCGCAATTTGCTCCTTTTCGGTGTGCCAACAAGTAAGTATCGTGTCCAAAAAGTTAAGCAAAAGCTCAGATCTGCTCACTGTTTAATTTGTCGGCAATCAAAGCGCCGATTAAAGTGTTCCTACTTTTTCTTAACTACAAGACTATTTGGAAAGGAAACTTTAAATATTGCACTTTTTGGGAAAAAATGTACCTTGATCAAAGCGACATTGCCATAATGCAGGCAAAACGGCTGGTGATCTCGACTGCGGCGATAAATATAAAGCGCATAGCTGTAAGATCTCAAGACTAAAAATTAATAAAATAAAGCTAACAAACAGCGATTGTAAAGGGGACTAGTAAAGGCAATCCCTGTTTAACGAAAAGTTGAGTCCGTTCGTAAAAAAACAGATTCCTCAAATTTTGAGCCGAAATTGGAAATGCATTTGCTTCAACGGAACTGTATTTTACCGACACAATGTAAATGCTTGCAAATTTATTCTACACATGTTATATGAAAAAAACAACAGTTTATTTCAAGTATATGTACAGTTCAGAAGCACTTGTATCACTACCCGAAGAGAAAAAAGGTTGGAGTGCAGGCTAGCACTAGGAGATTGGATAGTTCTGCCAGAGAGCGGAGTAGCCGCCTCTGGAGAATGTGTTGCAGCCGGTCTGGAGTGAGGCGAAAAGGTAATTGCTGCCAGCCGACCCGTCCACGGGGGCCCCATCCGGCGTAACTTGGGTGACCACCTCATTTTGTCCAAACGGCTTCATGCACCAACTGGAGTGACTCGGCGTGGGAAAGGTGTGCTTCAGGTTGTCTATTGCCATAGCATTGTCGATTAAAGGGGCTGCTTGTGTAAATATCATGTTTAAAGCGGGCGGTGAATACATGCCAGTGGAGGGTTCTTTTATTCCACCATCAGCTTGCCGCTGGTTGTGGCTTTGGTGATTGCTTTTGGCTCTTGAACGCAAAAGAACCTTGACCATACAGATGCAACTGATGAGGAGAATGAGAACGATCAGCACAGCTACGCTGATCATGATAACTGTGGTGTGAGTTAATCGGTTTTTTGACTTGGTCAGGGCTGTGATATTACTAGCCCGCCCGGCGGAGGACGATTTGCTTAGATGGACCGAATCAAGAAGGGGATTTCTGGGACTGATATATACAAAAAAGTTCCATGCAACTTTGGTGGGACTTTGACCCATGTCGTAGAGAAGAACTCTGACCGCATAGACGCCTGGAAGTGGACCCCTATGATGCCAGGCTGTGGTGAGCTCTCCAGTAGTCTGATCCAGTTGAAAATAACGGGAGCCATTGGTGTCACGTTGTAGAGCATAGATCACAGTCCCATTCTCACCCTTGTCTGGGTCGTAAGAACGCAGAACGCACACCTTTGAGCCATGGGGAGAGTTAGTGTAAACCTGAGGATGATATCCAACTGTGGTGTCAAGCTGAGGGAACCTCAATGTGGGAACATTATCATTTTCATCCAGAACAAGTACTTGCACACTCTTGTAAGTTGTTCTTTGTGGATTTCCTGAATCTGTAGCTACAAAGTAAATAGTGTAGCTTTCAATGTCTTCTCGGTCCAAGGGTTTTTTTGTCACTAGTAAACCTACGACTTCACTCATCCCTCTCACTTTTCCTCGGAATGAATATGAATTTTTGGCATTTCCACTCTCACTTATGGTGTCAAAAGCGTTGCGCACTTGTTGGGTATTATTTGAAGAGAGTTCAAGACGAACTTCGGCATTTGAACCAACATCTGCATCAGTACATCTCACCCTACCAACAACCGCACCAGCTGGAAGATTTTCAGTCACGCTCAAAGAATCCGGAACCTCAATTAAGGGACTGTTGTCATTAAGGTCCATAAGACGGATGCGCAGCTTCACTGAGGTTGAAAGACCACCTCCGTCTTCTGCAGCGACGTAAGCTTCAATTTCTTCATTTGTCTCACGATCCAGACATTCACTATTCTTTACAGTAACTACCCCTGTAGTACTATCAATGTTGAAAATCTCCTGAACGCTGCAGCGACCACTGTCGCTACTCACGAGAGAGTAGGTCAGCCGAGCGTGAATTCCAGAATCCGCATCGGTGGCTGTAACTTGAACAACCCTCTTTCCTTTTGGAGAATGTTCCGGCAATTTGGCGAGGAATTCTGTGACACCGAATTCAGGATAGTGATCATTAGCATCGCCGATAGCAACAGTGATGCGTAGAGTTCGCTCGCGTGTGTTGAATGAGTCCGCGTTATCAGAGCAGATGATCTCTACACTGGCAGATCGTGTCTCTTCGTAGTCGAAAATCCCCTCAGTGAAGACAAAGTAGGCGTTTGTAGTGACTTCTTGCAGACGAAGTGATGCAGAGCCTACTCCCTTCCCGCGGTTTGGAGCAGGTCGACAGATCACCTTAAAGTGCACAATAGAGGGATCAAACATAGGTAAGGAGGAACTAATAGACGTTTAATACATTGCAGGTAAGGATCGTTTGGCGTAACTTTTGCAGTGCTAGTGGATGACTCTCAGGTGTGTAAATATCTGCCGTAACTTTTTTTGAGAATCCGAAGTAAATGACGATCATTGGAAATAATGCTTATGTACCTGTCGACGCGACCTTTCTCAATCAGTAATTTAAAGTCATAGTAAAGGTAAATCCTTGGAAAGAACAACGCATTCTTTTAATGTTCCTGATCCCTAATGAATTTGTCGCGTTTCGGTAGCTTAGTAACAGTGTAGCTAATTGAGCAAATTCCATCCCAGTATCTCCAAATTTATGGGGTACAAATACTGGGTAACAAACCACTTGATACTAAAAGTTAAATCTTAAAATGCATGAAATTACTACACAACATCTTTTACCCCACGAAATCGGAGGTTGTGAACTTTTCTTCCACAAAAACAAATGACACTTTGTCAATGCGACTACCAAGAAGGATCTCACCTGGCTTGCTAACGATGGTGCCTTCTATAGACATTTAGCTATTACGATATCCACAAGGACTACTTGGCCTTCCAAGTCTGATTATGTAAATGCCTTTTTAGGGTAAAGAGCAAACTTTTCGTATAAATGCCTCATCACTTTTTTACGTGTTTGCAATAAAACGTGGCAGCCTGTTAAACAGGGAATGGTATTTTCAAGACCAAGATACAATTAATGCTTAATGCTTAAGCATTCACCCAACAACACTTCAAATGTTCGAAAGTGATTCAGTAAAATGGCGATCTTGACCCCAAAATGAGGAAAGGTGTTTCGTGGGAGAAATGCGTATCGGGCAATAACAGACAGAAGTTGCCCAATTTGCAATTTTGACATCGTCGTGCACGTGGGTTTAAATGTACTCAAAATTATGATGAGAAATATTGAAAGTCTTGAAGCACTTCCTCTATTCCACTTTCTGTGCAAATGCCTTAGGACAAGGGATTTACAAGGCACAAATTGTGCATGTCTCGACAAATACGACCCGCCGCACTACCCATGACGTGCACTTTGGAAATAAGTGCATCTTGCGATGAGGACATTCAGTCATGGCTGAAAGAGTATCATTTCAATAAGGTCAGATCAAAAGAATGCACTGCATTGACATTTTATCCTGCATTTTTGACTTTCATTTGGTTTACGTATAGAAAGGTTGTCAACTAGTTTTCAATTTGATTGCGAATGGAGCAATGCTGTCATACTACGCCACTTTACCTCAAGTTGCCCTTAAAGATGAGTTCTCTGAAGGACATTAACGCCCCAGCGGACTCCAGTTGCTAGTAGAGCACACAAACCAGTTCCTCTTTTACGTGTTCGTTACCGAAATTTCATATACATCATGTGCCAGCATATTAAATGTGCACCTCACTTTATTCAAGCAAAGGGACCAT